GGTTTTGGGGGAAATTCCGGGAAATTAAGAAAGAAAGAGAGAGAGAAAAAAAAATTGGGAGAGAAAAAAAAGGGGGTAAATGGAAAAGAAACGGGGCCAATGGGCCCAGTGGTAAGGGGGGTTAGGGGGGGGAAGGGGGGAAAAAGGAGGGGGGGGGCGTTACGGGGGGTGGGGGGGGGGCAGGGGGGGGGGGGGGGGGGCGTACTCATGTAAAAACGCATGCCGTCGCCGATAGACCATTGGCCTGGCATGTCTAAAAGGCCAGGACGGAAGGGGGGGGGGTAGGTAGAAATACAACAGTTTAGAGGGTGGTACAGTACGTGCGCATGGGTCGCGTTCACGGCCAGCTTTGGGCACAAAATAGCAGAATCTGGACTACAAAGCCGGAGAAGCTAGGCCAACAGCCATCGTTTCTGTCTCCATCATCTTGCACTACTTCCCGTGTAAACCGAAAAAAACGAAAAATAAGACCCGCACACACGCACGTAACCTGCCGGGCAAGGTGCAAACGCCTCACTGCTGTCGCATACGAAACGCGGCAAACAGAAAAACTGAAAACCAACACCGTTGACACAAACCGAACAACTGTGGATGACGAGGGTGGCGATGGCTTAACCACCAGCGCATATAAAAGCACAACAGTATCGAAGACACAAGATACGATCCTAGCAGAGAACATTGCTGGTCCTTGGAACACCAAGATTTCTATCCCCCTTTCTGACGAGGAAAAAAAATAAATCGGCAGAGATCCCCTTCGTACAGGGTACAATCTCCCGAAGTCTGCCGAGAGGACGATTGCCCTCCTTTTCCACCTGTACCCTTAAAAAACGGAAACACGAAGCACGAAGAGAGAAACACCGATCACAGCTATCTACCTCGCTGAGGATGCGCGCGGCGTCCTTGTAGCGCTTGAGCATGAGAAAGGCGAGCCCGGCGTGCTGGTGTACCGTGACAAAGGCCAGCATGTTGCCCGCGAACAGCTCGTTCTTGTCCGTGATGTCGATGGCCTCCAGCACCTTGATGCCTGCACGTTCGATAGGTCCGTCGATGAGAGCACGCGAGTGCAGGCAGGGACGGGGGGGACGGGGGGTAAGTGCAAGAGGGTAGGGATCTTGCATTTGGGGGGGGGGTTCTTGCTTGAGAATCAACTCGGTGGATTTTGTGCGATGTGCAATCCAAAGGAAACAGTTCAGGGTTTGGTCGGTGGCGGGGGACCCGGCGGGACATGCGTGTCTACAGGTACCACCATAAATCGAGAGTGCGATGTGTGAAGTTGGGGGAAAATTCGTTAAATCAGCAACAGTAGTGGCTTCGTCAGTGGCATCCACCAGCACCACCACCAAACCGCACCACACCACCAAGAGAACCGCACAAGCAAGGAGCCCAGCAGCAGCCAACGCGTCCACCCACAACACAACAGCAGCAGCAGCAGCAGCAGCACAGCCACCACCACCACCACCACCACCACCACCACCACCACCACCACCACCACCACCACCAACAACAACAACAACAAAAACAAACAGCGCCGAAAAGGAGCACAATAACACCACCTCCAACTCACACTCGTAGTAATCCCCGAGGAGGCACTGCAGTCTGGACATGCCCACGATCGCGAAGTACCCCGCCATCTGGTGCAGCTGCGACGGGGCCGCGGGCACCGCCACGTTTGCCGCCGGCCTTTTCTTCGCCTGGGGACCAGACCACAGAACCGCACACACACAAGAAAACACCCGATACAATAACAGTGTGCCAACGGACAGAACGATGTGTGTGTGTTTCGTTTATGTTATTCTGGCGCCGGTCTACGCAACTCTCGGTGTATATGTTTCATGTATCAGGCGGGTTCACACACGTAAGTGTTTGACGTACACAATGATGTGGTAAAACAAGGGTGTTGCGGTATCATGTACTTTTTTTGTTTTCGGTGTGGGGGGCAGGGCATGTGAGACAACCAACAACACAGCAGCACCTGTATGGGAACGAAAGGCTCATCAGACAGGGTGAGCGACTCTGCATCGACACCACTTCTCGCTTCACCGAAGGAGGAGAGGCGGGAAATGTTCTAGACAAGAGAAACAAACCTCGCAATCTCCCACAGTCGTCATCACCATGCCGGAAGCGTCAATGACGCGGTAAGGCGGAGTGCGTATTCGTCACGACCGGCACACAAAAAAAAAAACGCATTTCATAGAACCCGCACGATGCTGGCAACCTTGATGAGGAAACTGTGGCTGGGGACGGTGTGTATGTGCTTCATAAATAAGCATCGATCGCACTTACCGCGTGTGTTTGTTTAGCTAGCATCGACCGCAATGACCGGCTGACCAACGACAACACGTTCAGTCTCACTCAAAGTGCCTTGGGTTTCTCTAGCTCGCATTGACCCCGCTAACAGGACGTCAGTCTCCAATAGCGGGAAGACAAACGCGTCGGGTGCGGTGGCATCAACCTTACTCCGTGTGCGACAAGGACCACCACGCCCCCGAGGCTCACCTCGAGAATGGGCATGATGTTGGAAACCTTGATGAGGCCGTGGAGGTAGCCGATCACATTCTGCACCGCCCACGCGTCCTCCAGCTCCTCCTCCGACTCCCCCCCTCGGCGCTACACGAAAAAAACGACGGCCAGACGAGGCAAATGGTAAACAAACAGAGGAAAAGCAAGGGGAAACGTACAACATTTACCACCTCCACCAACGACAACACACCACCTCCACGACCAAACAAAGAACAACACCAATATTTGCTCATCGACGTACTACAACGATCATGACCACGACCAACACAACCAACAGCGGCAGCAGTAGCAGCAGCACGAGCAGCAGCAGCAGCAGCAACGCACCTGCCCCTTCATCTGGCAGAAGGACTGGAATTGGTATACGAACTCGTGCACCAGGTCGAATGCCCACTCCTCCGTGATCACGAAGTTCGTGTCTCGGCAGTCAAGGAGGGCGTCGAACAGGCGGCAGTAGTTCTCCCACGACCGGAGGTAGTCCGGCATCTGAACCTGTACAGCAACAGGGTGTTGTCGACAGCGGCAGAAGACACGGGTCGTCCGGAAGACGTTGAGTATCGGCACACACCGATACTGCCCCTTTTGCCTAGTGTCTTGCTTCCAAAACAGCCTGGATCGAGCATCAGGATCCACGTACGACCAAACAAAAAAATGGCGAGTTCCGACAGACACGTTTCTCGATTTATCCAGCCTCCCACTCGAGAAGAACACAAATACATATGCGTGTCCATTGTCTTTTACAATACTCTTTGGAAACTAAGCTGCTGTTGGCAGCCCTCTACATGTATGCCCTCCGCTCTTGTACAGCCGATTTCTCATCACCACCGTCTCTGTCAAATGCCAAATGCACCTCGCGGCTGCCACCGCTGCTTGCGCATCGTAGACGCGTGTCTTCGGAGGAACAAAGGACGTTCAAGCAACCGGCAGAGGCTCTTGAACCAACATTTGAGCTGCTTGAAAGAAACTAATCGCACACACAATGCCAAAGTTTGCTAGAAAATATTGGGGCAGCACGAGAAGAAGGTGCTGCTACTGAACAACAAGCGCCAACCAGCCCTCTCTCTCCTTTTCTCTCTCCCTCTCAAACAACCCGGTACACCGGACGGATGAGAAAACAAGAGCAACAACAAGATAAAACACCATTGCTTTGTGACATTGGCGTTGGGGGAAAGCGAAAAAAAAAAAATGCACGGGGCGGAAGGGTTGGAACTTACATTGGTGGTGGCAAACATGTGCCTGTTGCGCAGTTCTCTGTAGAAGCACAGGAACAGCTCGTCGTTAGAGCACTGGTTCGCGATCACCTCTGCCTCAGGCCAGGTGCTCTGACAACGCACAAACACGGCACAAGAGGATGTGACAAAAACAAGACGACAACAGAGCGGACAGAGTAAAGTAGAGCCGAACAGTGTCAGCAAAACAAGGCATTGAAATACAAAATCAGAGCGGACAGAGCAGAGCAGAGCCGAGCAGAGTCAGCAGGATGCTCCTCAGCATGACAATCGCGCAAACCACAAGAGGTGCGAAAGTACAGTACCCCCCCCCCCTCCACCTTCTTGTTTGGTATCTACCGAGCGATGGATTTCTGTTATTTTTTC